AATGTATCAACAAATCTGTAACATAGTTTAGTTGTTATGGGTGATATTCTATTTAGAATTATTCTACATATTATCACAAGAATGAAAACCCCAATATTTTTAGTCAATTTTGTTTGCATTGCATGGTTGCTTTTTTTCCCTTAGCATGTTAAACAAATTAATAAATCTAGGTAATGTCGATTTCAAGTTGTATTTTCACTGTAAAATCTTCTACTTTAGTAATAAATCAGTTGAAAACTAAATAATTTAAAACTTTTTCGTTACTTGCAATTTGTCGAAATTAAATAAACATAAATCTTGAACGAGATATAATAATCAAAATCCAACATTATTTATTTTAACAGATAAATTATCGTTGAGCAAATATATCCTTAAAACATTTTTTTTAATTCAAACATTTTACTAAACTTTCTATTAATCAAATACTGACCTCAGCCATTTATACTAACACGTCATAACATTGCCTAGATTTTATTTTCATTCGCTAATGCTAACAGGTAGTAATTACATTGGTCTTTTACTTTTTATTTTCTGGATGGGATCCTGGATGAATCCTTTACATCGAATTAATAAAATCAACAAAAACTCCATGGCTCCAGGTGTGTCAAAATACCAGATGTTTTCCCACGACAGGACAGATGTCTGCATTCCCGCGAAGAAGGCTTTTTCCTTATTGTTGCCTTATTTTCCTTCATAATTCGCGCATCTCACTGTAAAATTGGTGTTTTTAAGGCATGACAAACCTTAACGCAATCACGGCAGGTTTTTGTTTTGTTTATTGACGTTCGCAAGCAAAGATAATAAAATCAGACTACTACATTATCTTTAATCTGTCTTATTGATACATGTATAGGAGAACAGTTTAAGTGCATGCCTTAATAGCGTGCAGCTAATGTATATCGGAGCGATTCACTAGCATAAATATATTAAAACTTCTGACATATAATCAAAACAAATAAAAAAGTCAAGGAAATCGCCATAATAATCCTTATTAGCAACTCCATAATAAAACATAGAACAATTTTACACATACAAAAGTTAAAAACAAAACAAAAACAAAAACATACAAAGAAACAAAAACACAATGATTTCAGGGTTTTTTAAAAAATCATTATCGAATTGAAAACAAAAAACCTTGCTAGAAAACCCTTTTTTTTTAAATGACAACATTATACAGTTTTTAATTACTTACCATTAAAGTGGTTTTTCTCTTATTTCAAAACTACCAAGATTCCCAAGCGTGAAAGTGGAAGAAAAGGATTCACTTTGAATATTCCATGTTTATTGTTATTTCACTTTGGCACAAGTTAATTTTAAATAGATAGGTGATAAAATAATCACATCAGATGCATTAGATGAGGATCTAAGCGGATTTGCCGATTCCGGAAGAAGCGCGAAAGCAGTCACGTGAAAAAAATCGTCGCTTATGTCGTGATAAAACGATTTTCCTTCGGAGAGTTGACCGTGGCGGGCACCTCCGCTGTGATTCAGATTACTAGTGAATGACTCTTAATCGCACATCTCATATATTTCCACTTTAAACGATTATCCTCCGCTTCAGATCTATGAGACCCTCTGTAAGACAGGAGAAATCTAATGATAGTAATTAACTCTTATCTAAGAGTTTCCATGCAAAAGGCTCCTTAAATCTTTTTTCATGAAGCAAAAGAACACATTATAACATGCAAAAATAGACTTCACATGAAAATATGAATTTTAGAGAAAATACACAATGGATTCTCCAAGAACAATGTTGTTTCTCTAGAGAAATCATGTATAGTGGTTTCATATCCTGAAGTGATAGGGAGGAATTTTGTATGAGAATTAGTGCAACATGTTTTGCGTACAAACAAGTTGCTCATTACTACATATTTTTAATGTTAACACTCTCTTCATTCATCATTGTTTGGAGAAAAGGAAGAATGGAATAACATTTTTTACTAATATATATCCTCGGTCAAAATGTTGCATTAATAATGTAATTTTCAACATAGGGCCAATTCAAAAGAAAATTCTGCAGTATTTAATATTTTTCATGTTTTTATGGAATAAAACAATTTTTCCTCAATAAGGTATTTGTCTGCAAATATTTGACAAAATTATGGGTTATTGCGGTTAGTTAATGGTGGAGCCCGGGTCTAAAAATTATAAACTGGGACGGACTTCAATCTAAATTTCAGTTTTAGTAAAACTTTTGAAATGATTTAGAAAAGATAATGTTCAGCACGTGTTATCATTTGAATATCAAACAAATTTACAATTTTTTAAAGTAATTGTCGAAAAAAAAAAATCAAATGATAGTCAAAATCTACATTTTGACTGAAGTCTGTTCTCGGCTTATGCTCTCGGATCCTGAACACCATTTTCTTGCGTGTTTCTCGGCTTATGCTCTCGGATCCTGAACACCATTTTCTTGCGTGTAATCACGTGTTTTGCCACCATTTTATATTAAAGTAAATTAGTGTTGCTGTTGTGAAGTTATTTCTCAGATTTCAGTACATATCGTGAGAGAAATGTGAGCGAAAAAAATTCCTTTAATCATTTCTATTCTGCTAGATGTGGCAAATTTCACACAAATAAAATAAAAGCTCCCGCAACAGGATACAGATTTCCGGAGATTAAAGCTGCCCAGAAGAACTATATTGAATCCACACGCTCTCTTACTGTGACGTTGATTACACTTATTAACTCCCGCCAATCACTGTCCGCCATCTTTTTTTTTCTTGTAATTTATTGAGAATGCGGCTGTCATTTGTATATAAATTTTTTGAATCATTTCAACTGTTGACTCTTTTGTGACTGGAATGAAATGCAGTAGGTAATAGAAATCAAAATTAATTAATAATTGGCAGATAAATGTTATCACAATAACTTTTTTTTCATTTTATGCGAATGAAAAATAAAATTGACAAGGTACACATTTTAGATTTTCCCCTCTCATCGATTTCAAATACAAATGCTTTCATTTCTAAATGACATAAGAACGTTAGAATTGAATTAAATAAGATTTGTTGAGCTTATTTACGAAAAAGCAAACTTGTATTTAAAACATATTGACAGTTTTAAATGATTTGAAAAAAAACCCAGATTGATTTTTGAATGTCTTTTACGCCTTATTAACCAGGGAAAATTTGATAAAATATAACCAACATAGAGGTTTCTGTCTATGCCCATCCGCTGATAAATTGATGGAGACAGTCATGGTTTTGTTTGTTTATGATTTTAATATAAGATAGTATACTAAAATGTTCTGAAAAATCCTTTATGTTTACAAAAGCCTGACCCAGTTGTATTGCTTTTCATTAAACCTCTGCTAAACATTTACAGTGTAGAATAAGTGCTAATGCTCTATTTTAAAAGGCCAAAAGTAAGACAAAGTTTTGCTCCTTCTAAGTAAAGAAGTTAACAATACATCGTTTCGCTCTCAGAGATTGTACTTGAATAGTAGAAGATGTCCCTGTTTTATTTATTAGTCCCCTACCGGTGAAACCGGAGGGGACTATAGGTTTCCTCTGAGTCTGTCCGTCCGTCTGTCCGTCCGTCTGTCTGTCTGTCTGTCCGTCTGTCTGTCTGTCCCTCTGTCTGTCTGTCAGTCTGTCCCACTTGGTTTTCCTCACTTTTCTCTTAAACGCTTGCAGATATTTAGCTGATTTTTGGTATGTGGGTGTATCTTGATGAGTTACAGATCAAGTTTGCATTTCGTTCCGCTTCATTGATTTTTGACAGAATTACGGTCTTTTCAATTTTTACGGGTTTTCCGCAATTTTCTTCTAAACGCTTGTAGATATTGAGCTGATTTTTGGTATGTGGCTTTACCTTGATTAGTTATAGATTAAGTTTGCAATTCGTTCCACTTCATTGATTTTTGAAGGAATTATGGCATTTTCAATTCTTAACGGGAACCAGATTACACTTGCCGGTAGGGGACTAGTATTGCTAATGCAATACTCTCAGAATGCTTGTTAGTTTAGTTTTATACACAGCCAAATTGAGTTATACTGTGGTACAAGATACAATTGAGAGTTTAAATTTTCAACTTCCACTTGTATTGTTAGAACTGATATTTCTAAAGGTATAATAAAACAGCAAAAACATAGCATTAAAAACAAGAAACACTGAATACTTGCATTAATCATGAACAGTTTCCCTCGAAATAACTTTTTCTCTCTTAGCTAAATTAGATGAAGCATACGGGTATAACTTTAAAATGAAAAAAATCAATCATTTTCAAATCGTAACAGTGTTTAACAATCTACACATTTTCTCAACTCTTATTTATATTTTTACAGTTGGCTTCATAAACTGTAAAACATTTTATCTAATGTTAACCGATCACCAATAGAAGAGTTCTTCCAGTTAGAAATATGCATCACATATGTACTATACTCAGTACACCAAACACAGCTGTTACAGATGACGTGACAAAATTTAAAATCTAGTATACAGAGTAATTTGTAATTTGTAACAAATAAACTTTAAATGAGTTTTTTAACGTTTAATTCGATTTGTATGCTCAATGTGTGTGATTTATAGCACGATGAAATGCAAAAATGGAATCAATTAGCTGTCTCAGAAACATTTCACTTAAACCTCCGGCACGATTTGGGTCCAGTGCTCAGGGTTCAGAATAAGGAAACCCCTTTTCCAATTCAATTAATGTACGCTTAGGAGACAGCTACAACTGCATTGTTATTTTTCGCGTGTATTTTATATACATGAACCTTTCTACGCTGTTTCTACAAAAATAAAGCAAAAATTTAAAACAAACAGATAGCCATTTCTAGCGTAAACTGACACATCCTGAGCTCGCTAACAATATATACTGTACGACTTTTGGGCAGATTATATCTCGCAGAAAATTCTGTCAGTCTTGAAATATAAGCTATAAACTTGATGACCGATTAAGGCAATAAAAAGTATTTAATTTATTTAATGTATGGGCGTTTTGTAGGTTCATTATTATACTTTTTTTATTTTGTGACAGCAGCATCTGGTGCCTAATTCAGTAACGGCTTCTTATTACGTTCGATCCGACTCTGGATTAATAGGACCATGTGACGCCAGGTGGACCAGAGCCAGTAAGTCCTTATTTATTTAATCGTCTTTTTTTAATTATTAATCTTAAGAGTTTGATTGTTTAATATCAGATCAGTAGATCATGAAGATACTTATTTTTACTGTATAGATAGTGTTTTGTTTTTTAAATTAATTTTATTTTTGTCCTTATTATTTAAAAAAATCTCTCAAAAATTTTTAGTAAAAAGGTCGGCAGAATATTTTTAACAGATTTTTTAAATAGTTAAAGCAAACCTTACTCTATTTTTAAGGTATTTTCTCAAGTTATGATTTTTTATAAGTACATTTTTTAAGAAGCAGTTTACCACACTATGTTGTTCATAACCCATACTCAGTATTTGCCTAAAATTAACTTTTTAATGAAGGATTTAAGTGAAGTATACCTGTTTCTATTACATTTTCAACAGTGAAATACTGTGATTTATTTATTGAATTAAAGTGATATTCTGCCACAGTGTGAAAAGATATCAAAATGATATTCTGTTACAGTGTGAAAGTGTATCAAAAGAGGTAAAAAAGATTTTGGCCTGTCATAAGATAGAGATAAGAAACTAAACCATCTCGACAGAGACTAAAACTGCCAATTTCTTCCCAAATAAAGTCGCTAAAGTCCATGTTACAGTGTTTTCAATCTCACAATTGCTTAGCTATGAGGTCTCAACCGCTTAACTATGACGTCACAGCCTATAACACTGTGTGAAGAAGAGACATCAACGAAAATGTAATAAACAGAAAATTCAACGTTTTGTGATTTGATTTCAATAATAATTGTATTTCACTCGTGAGACAGGATTTTTTAATACTTTCACTTCTGCTTCGCACTCGTGAAAATATCAAAAAATCGTGTTCTATTCGTGAAATAAATTCCATATCCAACTACAAAACATTGCATATCCTTTATTTCTTAATTTTCAGTAGTGTAAGACAATGTTAACTTAAAGATGCAAACTTCTGTATAAAACTCAGATTGTATTACTATACCAATCGGCCAACAGATGATGCATGGTCATAAACATAACAATCTAGAATGCTGTCAAAGTGAAAGCTGTTTCTCTAAACAAGACGGCATATCGTGCAACACAGGGCGAGGTTCGTGATGCTTTTATTTGGGTATCAAAACAGAAAGGTTTTTCACTTTCTAGATACACAAATATTTCTTCTTTAATTTGACATTTCTTTAAGGTGTCGTTTGTCAAATTACTGTCAAGTTTGGGGCATCATAATGTGGATGATCCGATAAAATACCTGTGTCAGTTTTTTAAGGATATTCTCTCCTCAGCCAGGAAGGATAACTCTTAAATTTATTATTTAATCAAAAGAAGTCTGAAAATGAAGCTTGAAGTTTCTCAATGATATATAATTATATTAAATATTTATATAAAATGTTAAATAATAGTGGGGCCAAACAGAGTTCAATAGCTTGTTGAAGGTAGCTGGCATAAAAGCCAAGATGCTAGCCAAATCGTTTTACTCAAGGGAAAAGCAAATTCTTATTAGACAAAAGGGTATCAGCTCTAAATTAATGGCGTGACACGTTCTTTATCCAGATCAGTACATTAGTGTACAATTCTGTCTTACCTTTAGGTCTCAGCAATAAGTAAAGGAGAGATTAAGATTGCTGAAAACAATAAAGGCAACATATCATTCAGTACAACTCAAGACACTATTAACTAAATATTTTTCCATTAATAATAGTTTTTCGAACAATGAGGTATAAAACTGATCTCCTCTATTGCACTGTCTTGCTTGATTATATGTTGTTTTACGTCCCATTTAAGAATTTTTTCAATTATATAGAGACAACCATATACCGGTGAAGGGATTCAAATTTAGTTCTATGCACGGCACTCAAGGCCATTGAGCAGTGAGGGTTCTTTATAATTCCAATTCCTCCCTTGAAATTGGACCTCGGTTTAAAGGTCTTCCGTAAGACCCGTGATATTCACTTTTAATGCTTGGCGCTTGGCGAAGGAACAGTCACTACCTATGTTTACGTCTTTAGTTTGAAGCGGCGCGGAGAACGAGAACCTAACCCGCGGGCCTCACGATCACGAACCGAAATGCCCTACCACTAGCTACCTTGACTGGTACACAGCTTAATTGAAAATTTTCAGGTATAGTTCCACAACAAACAGCTTAATAAGTCAAAAATCTTACTTCGCAGTTTGGCTTTGGTAAACAAATTATGTTGGAGAAAGAACTGCGAACAATAGTATTGTTCTGCCGCCTACCTCCAAGTCAAATTTTAAAAGTTAACATATTTGAATGACTTTTCATATTTATATAGATATTCATGTGAATTTACATAAAACATAACTTATTTCGGAAAACAAAGGGAGATAACTCTTTTGGTAAAAAAAAAAAAAAAAAAAAAAAGAAGCGTTTTCACCATAGATTTTTATGGGTTTTTTTAATGAATTATTACACAAATTCATACCAAAGCTTTTGTTGTTTCACCGCGGGGGGGGGGGGGGGGGGCATATGTTTACAGACAAAAACCTGCAAAAATTGTCATTTTATTACCAATTTCAAATGAGATTACAAATTAAATAAGTGAATATAGGTCTTTTATCAATCTTTTACGTTGAATTTTACATAAACATACAAAAAGTTTTAAGGGTCATTTATCGATTCCCATGCGCTTTTGAAAATCTAGCGATTTTTATAACCTGATTTCAGTGGAAAAAAAATTAACCCCCCTTTTGAAAAGAGTCGTAAATAAGAGCAATTAAGTTTTTGACACTGGTTTTAAAATTATTAATCAATTACAAATGAACTCTCTTTTTGCATTAAATCAAGTTTTAATGGCCAAACCGCCATTTATATTGAATTAAATGGGTGTAAAATATAGGTGGGAATCGAGAGTTAGCGTGCGCATATGTTTGTTAGACATTGGTATCACTGATTGAAAACCAGTGAGAAATCTTGACATGCCATTGTTAAGTACTCTAAATGGACTTTTGCGAGAAGCGCTGATATTTACTGCAGACAGCTTACATTTACACTAGGACATTATATGGAAACCCTTTTGCAATATAAATATTTTGATTAAAAGTTAATTAAAAGGTAATATTGGGCCATTGCAGAGCACATATTACGTTGTCTAGGAAGGGAACGACAACTATCCTCGACCCCCTCTCTTCCCACCTTCATCAGTTCCCGCCAAGTTTTCCTTCTGGAATGATTTTCTTCCCTACTTGATTCCTTCAGAAAATGAGATTGAAAGAAGATACTATCCCTCGCGAATTAAGATGGTTATTCCGCCTCCCATCATCTCTTGGGTTGATTTTATACCGATATATTATGTTAGCGCTCCCGATACCATATTTTAACCACTAGTAACGTTTAATTATATATTATCAATATTGTGCCTCCGTATATAACGCAGGTTTAAATGCCAAAGTTAGCTGTCGACTGTAAAAGTCAGCGCTTTTCGCAAAATACCATTACCAGAACGGCTTTTCTACAAATGAAGTCATTCTAAACTAGTGAACTAGGCACCCAATTAAAGTGAAAATAAGAATTTTGAGGAACAGCATATAATTATGAAAATAATTTAAAAGTATTTTTGCTGGTCCGTTTTATACCTTATTGGAAAATTATTCTAACTGCGTATAGGTTGTACACCAGTAAATGAAACATGGAGAAACAAAAATGTTAGAAACTTCCTTTCAAATGTTCATCTACAAATATCTATGACTTAAAATTGTACAAGCATCATTTCCAAAAATGTGCATCAAAGAAAACTTAACAAAATAAGAATTGAAAAGCATGTTCTTAAGCTTTTTTAAATATGAAATCCTTTGATTGAAAGGCGATGACGTAAATTAGATTTCGAAAAGAACATTTTTGCAAAAATGTATGTACTACTAAGGCTGTGAGGGAAGCCCTTCCTCTCTTTATGTCTTGTCCCCCCTTTCTCCCTCTATCCTTTATTTTATTCCCCCTTCCTTAAATTCTTCTCTCATTTCTCCCCCCCCCCTCATCCTTTTTCCTACTTCCAACTAACCCCGTCCCCTACATTTAAATTTACCAAATCATAATTGAAAAAAAAAGAAAACTCAAAATCAGTCATGCGTATCATGTCCAAAACAACAACAAAAAGAAAGTTTTTTATGAGAATTTCTGCCGAAGAAACCAATTGTTAGATCATTATTTATACACTGAACTGTCTACGGATTTTTTCGTTTTTCCCCTGATCATGATAAGGAGCATACGGCGGATGTGACCGGTCGGCAGGGGATACTTACTCCTCCATGGCACCTGATCCCACCTTTTAATTTTGAGGTCGTGTTTGCTCTGCTCCAAATTTGTATCGTTTCATTGGACTTTTGAGATTGAATACTGTCGTTATCTTCATATTTCATTAAGTATTATCAGACTGCTGACATTTAAATATCTTATCAGGCGTGTGTCCTATCAAAATGCTTGATATGATTAGTTAAAAAATAGTTATACCCAGAATGCTGCATTAAATTACTGGTATATTAATGGTCAATACAAATGATAAATACCGGTACGATATACAGAAATTTTCAGATGACCTGACCTTGCATTTAAACATTAGTATATATATTTTTCAGAAGAGTCCATTTACTCCTAGAGGCCTTTAGACATGTCTTGTTAATGAGATTCTCAGAAAGTAAAAATTTTCTGGATTTTATTTATTATGGACAGCTGTGAGAGGTTTGACATTCAAATGAGCAAACAGACAACTAGTGACAATAGTTATCTTGTACCAGGGGATGGGAAAAGAGACCCCGCTTACTTAATGAATTGTAGATAACAGGCATATATATTTCATCCTAGGAATAATACCGTGATGAGAGTTATTGCTAATGTATGATGACCATTGCTCAGAACATATCAGAATATATTTGGCTGACAATAGAATTCATATAGAGAGATTGAAAAACATAATCAAGCGTTGAAAACAACATATCATAATGGCGTTTTAGCAAGATGGTTATGATGATATTTCTCAGCATGAAGCTCGACATCA